GAAGCGACTCACCCGGCCTTTCTTCCGAGGCACTCCTGGGCACCCTTAAACCTCTCATCTTTTGGTTGGCACCACCCAGGAACCCCTTCCTCCAAGGCCTAAAGGGTTGAAACCTTAAACCAGCGGTTCTCAACCTGTGGGTTGCAACCCCTTTGGGGGTCGGACAATCCTTTCACAGGGGTTACTGATTCATAACAGCAGCAAAATGACAGTGATGAAGTAACAACGAAAATAATGTTATGGTTGGGGCGGGTCACCACCACATGAGGAGCTGTACGAAAGGGTTGCAGCATTAGGAAGGTTCAGAAAACCATCGATTGGCGCAAAGGAAGGAAAAGAAAGACAATAAGGAAAAACCTGAAACCCTCCCCACATTCAAATCGGCGCCACCCCTCCTGGTGCCAGGAACATCTTCCTTCATTCTGGTGGCCCGGGGGTCATGGACCAGGACCTCCTGAAAATGACTATGCCATCCCAGCGCTGTGTGTCCTGCAAGGAAACCCCCTTACCCAATGGTGTCAATGCTGCTTATTGGCTTTCAAATTGAGCAGTCACCCTGGTCACAAAGCACAGAAGACTCTTTTCTGGGGACAGGGCAGACCATGAGTATGAAGCAGGGATGGGGGACAGGTAAAGTACCAGGGCCTTGGAGCAGGAGGAGGGAAGGTATGGTGACCCCGGGGGCTGGAGGGAAGGGTGCTCCTTCCCCAATACAAGGGGAATCGGGACAGTCCCTAGAGTCAGGGGGATCCCACAGAGAGCTCTGGGTAGAGCAGAAAGCTGCCAATATAACGAAATGAAGGCCCTAATATTACCATCCAAAGCTGGGGAACAGCAAAGAAGGGGGGCAGGGCTGTGACGTGTTGAACCTTCCTTCTTCACCGGTGGGAGGTCCACAATGACACAGGCTTCTTGGCTGCTGACCGAAAGGTTGGAGGTTTGAGTCTAGCCAGGCTCCCCCAGGGGCGAATTGGAAGAAAGGCCTGGAAAATCAGCCAGGGAACACAGGCCCACCCTGGCACACGTTGGGGGGCAGAGGGCACCTGAGTCAGGTGCCATCACGGCAGCCAGTACTTGGTTAACAAGGAGGAGTGGTGGTGGAATAGGGGTTCAAACGACTGAGAAAACCACCAGATGATTGGAACCCGAATCAAATCAAGCAGCTGTGCTGATGGCTTAGGGGCACGGGGCTTCTGTCCAGGGTGCTGAAACGTTTTGTAAGCAGACAGCGATGAGCGCTGTCCAACGATGTGAATGTAATTAACACAAGTGACTATGCCTTCAAGGGCGGTTAAAAAGTGGCCAATTGTATATTACGGACATTTTACCACAGCGGGGTCTTAACCAGAGCGCCTGCCTCTGGGATAGGGAGTGGGTTCGGAAGCCGCTACTACCCTTTGAGTTAGGAGCGTGGCTATGCCCTCCGGAATGATTGACTTTGACTTCTTTTTCTTTTTTTTCGTTTCTAAGTAACACCAAAAGACTTCTTTTTCTTTTTTTTGGTTTCTAAGTAACACCAAAATCATCCTAGTCGATGAAACCAGAAATGATCAGCCCATCTGCTTGCTACCTAACGCAGCTGACCACTGGACCAGGGTCCTGGCTGGGAGATAGCAAGCCCAAGGCCCCGCGGACAGGCAGCTTCCCCCGCGGTGGGAGGGC